CAAGAGATTCCAAGATAAAGGGTGTAGAAAATCGCGAAGGGGTTTCATCTCTGTATTTTGTTATCCAATAGTGAGTCGCCTTTATTCCTAATTTCCACTCAATTTTGGTGTATAAGTTGGCAACATCGATACTGACCAATGTGCTTCCAGGTGGAACATTGGTATAGGTAGTTTATCTAAGAAGTCGTCATCTCGTTAGAAGTTCTTCATACGTTTACACAGAGGTTTTAGTAATATATCGACAAAATTACTGGGTCGTTAGGTAAAGCTTTCGGGTCCACCAACTATTGGTCGAAACGGTTGATCTACGAGGTTCTGTACTTCCTAATGTTGGATTGCTATCTCATTTTGAATGGTTTTGCTCTTGTGTATTTTCGGCAAACCATAGAAGAATAAAGTTTTTAACGTGCAGACTAATAGGTAGTCAGTTTCATCATCTGTAAGTTCGTGTTTGAACTTATCCGCAGATGTCTTTATCTTGCGTTTCATTGTCTTCTCTTGGACTTCTTTTGAATCACAATAATATTCCTAATCATGAAGTCTCAATCAGCAGTCCTTAAGAACACCAAAAGCCATAACCGATCCTGAAAACATCATGACATTGGTAACGACTTTTAATCCAAGTTATACTAGACCAATGGATTTTGTGGAGGCTAACAGGTCGATTCTAGAGCGGTGTCTAAATATAAAGAACATCCTTCGGACAATAAAATTTATTAGCAGTTATAAACAACCGCCGAGTATCCGAAGGGTGTTGACATCTTCTAAATTCGATATGGACACATAAACTAGTTCTACTCCACCGTGTGTTTCAAAGTGCGGCAACAAAATATGTAAATTATGTAATGATATAATCGAAGGAACCAGTATAACCATCTCCCCAATTAAAAAATTTACAATTAGGTAAAAAAATGAATTGTCATTCAAAGAACTTGGTGTACATGATAGCGTGTGCTGGATGTGGTGGACAATATATTGGATATGGAATTCCAGAAATAGAATGAATGGGGAAAGGTTGGCTTTAAATGCAGTCCCATCTATAAGCTGAATTTTGAAGACACGATTTTGCTTGAAACTCAAGAGGTTCGTTTTATTAAAATGCTCGGAGCAAATCTCAGTGCAAAAGGAATTGACCAATCGTGTCCAACTGTTAACTTCTTCCCGGATTACTATACATATCGTCGCCATGACGACGTTGCTTAGTATTATGTTATGGTTATTATTAATATTGTTATGTCATGTCCTGATAATTCCCCTGTGGTGGAGAATATTAGACAGTGATTAAAAAACAATAGTATAAAGTGATTAAACAGTTGCTCAATTTATACTATTGTTTTTTAGATATACATGTATATATATATATATGAATGAAGGGTTGCGTCTAAGTGGACGACCCTACAAAGACCTTGTCTATCGTCAGGACAACTATTGTTTGGATACGCCCCCATGGTGTAAATAGGTCGGGCTTGCGGCTTTGCGTTCGCTTCCGCCTAGTGTGATATCGCAGACAAGTGATGTCAATTTTAGTACTATCGCCTATGTAAATCATCCAATTATATTATCAAAGAGACATCTCGGTTAGGTTTAAATAAACATGCTTTAAAAAAAAAAACATCGATGATAATTGGGCTTTGATTGGTCCTTAAGGTATTATTTCCTCCAATCAGATGAGCCAACAATAGTAGGTCATGTTTAATTGAAGTCAGCGCAAAAAAAGATAACATCTAATAAAAGATAAAAGATAAACTTATGCTAAAGTCTGAACATTTTATAATAATTAAGTCACATTCTTAATAGGTTAATTGTCTGACTAAACGGTAAACACAGTTAATAAACCACACCAACTGACCTAATTGAGATGACGTGATAAACGAGTACTTGATTTGTCTGTAGAATATTTACGAAACTCAAGGAATTGAATGGACAGAGCACAATACTTTAGATCAAATAAAAACAAAGACTTGAATTGTCTGCAGAATATAAAAAATCGCCAAAGAGTCGAATTGTCTGTAAAATATTTAACAAAAACTTCAAAGAATTGAATGAACAGTAGGACGTCTTCAAATCTGGGCAATATCTATTTAATTTTTCGTTTCCAAAGAGATCTTGCTTTCACTAATAAGATGCAGATGCTTTTTTTCGAATCGTTTTGAAACATACAGGATTGAATTAGCCTTTCCTTTTTTAACCCAAATTTGAACAAATCACGACCACAATGGACGGCCTACCAATCTGACAATTTAATGAAGGAAAAACCTAGGATGAAAGAAAAGTGGCACGCAGCTAAATGTATAGTTTTCAGATTCCATCAACGTCTTGGTTTCCCGGAAATAAGCAATCGTTACAAACCGTTTGTAAATCGCATGCAAACAAAGGGATTCAAAAATAGTTTAATGCGAAGTACTTCATCTTTGCAAGTCGAGATGAGAATGAGTGTTCGAGGTTGCGTGCTCGTAAAAGAGCCCTTGACGGGTGGACTCCGATGAAGAGAAGGCGGTAACTCCGCTATCCGAACAAAATTCTCATCCCAAGCATACGACACAATAGAATACCCGTCTTCCTGTCCTATTATTATGTCTTTGGTGTCCATTAACAGACATTGGACATGACGTCATCGCAACCATCTTGGAATTACAACGTCACATGAATCGTCGATTGAAGTCCATCAAGAAGAGGTATGAAAACAGTTGTTGGTTTAAACATTCGCTGCAAAGCGTCCTGTCTGCAACGTTATATTATTTCACTACATATAATATGTGGTATTACATTATATGCACAATGTCTTTCGGTTATGTATGTTGTATTCTTTAAAAAAAAACAAGCAAATATTTACACTAAACATCTCAGTCCTTGCAAATCGACAAAGTTCGGGTCTTGTTCGGGTTTTTATTTGGCTACAATATTCAAAAATATTTGCGCGTATGTATATTACCTTGTATATTCAGAATTAGTTTAGAGCATCAATGGATTTTTTTTTTAAAGAAAATAAAAAAATTTAAAAAAAACCAAAACAAACCCAAATTAACTGTACTTTTCATGTATATGAGTCAATTAAATATACTATTGAAAATAAAATATCATACATTAATAATTATTTATAATAAAAAGTAATTTCTAAACGTTTATTCAATATTTTGTTCATCTTTTGTTAATCCCATATTGCATGAAAACAGCCATTAAAAGTCCGTCTTATTACACCTTAAAACCTCTCTTAAACCGTAGTCTTATCATATTCTTTAAGTCGTCAATTAATGCAATTCGATTTAAATTGGTTACGCTCCACTCCAATCACTATGGTTAACCCATAAAATGAAAGCAGGTTGTTATTTGAAATTATGTCAAAAATATGACAAAAGAACATTGTGTTGCTTCTCTCTTCTGAAATAATTGCATAATATTATAATGAAATAATTAAAACGATGTACATCAACAAGAAAATTCAGGAGAACTTCATATTGTGTGTTTAAAAGTAAGTGTTATTGGATAAAATAAAGATGAAAGTAAATTAACCATGAAGATATTGTCTAGTACTCAGTACACTTTTGTTTTCTTAAAATTGAGAACTTTTATCCAAGAGAAGAAATGGGGTTTAAGGTCCACTCGACACAAACTAGGTCATTGTGGGACTAACGCATAGTTCAATTTTATTTCAATAAATCCCTTGCGCATAGGGGTATTTAGCAGTGAGAGGAAACCATCGAGGTTGGACAGGAGACCCTACTCCTTCTCACGAACAAGCGCGGATTCGAAACCACGCCACTTGATCCAATGACAGACCTTAATTTTTCACGCGAACGTGTTAAACTACTAGACCACCCACGATCTAATCAAGTAGTGATGTGTATTGTTGCATGATGCCATCGCATTTATATCATTCTAAACAAACTGTGACATAGGCCCTATAACAAATGGAATAATATAGATTTAAATAGGTCTATCTATTTAATGATTTTAATGATGAAAAAAGTAACTCACGAATTGTGATCATAATATCATTATCATATTTTATCATTACAATAATTTTCTTTGTATAGTTGAAATGTCAGATTTTTTTTTTAAATCAAAAGTTTTTACTTTTTAAAGGAAATGGGTTATTTGAATAAATAGGTTATGTGACATATGACATAAATGTGTTAAATATGTAAGGGATAACCGCGGCTCTACTTAAACCGAAATAACCGCGGCTCTACTTAAACCGTCTCCGATCAATGGGTTACAGACTAAACTTCATGAGGGTACATGGGAATCTAACTGCACTATGTCATTCCATAGAGCGAACCGTTCGTTGTGTATTGAGATAAAAAAAAATGGTTTTATGCTCGATTCTAATACGCCGGAATAACAATGGTATAGATAGATATGTTCCGAGAAAAGTAGATCCAATGATGCAGTAATGATTAATTCAACCGAATATCCATAGTTCACGGATATTCCAAATTTCCACTTAATGTCAACATAGATGCATTTTAATTGTAATTAAACAATTTCAAGTTATTAATATTATCATTAAACAATTTCAATTTATTAATTAAACAATTTCAAATTATTAATATTATAATTAAACAATTTCAAGTTATTAATATTATAAAGAATATACCTAAATGTTGTGCAGATTGTTATCTACAATGCACCGTACAACATGTTAAAATGTATAGTGAAGTAGTTTGCGATAGACATAAACCCCATGCAATCTATCTGTATTTGGCTGACCAAACAAAAAATATCTTAATTTGCATTTATGCACGGCTTGGTAGTTGTATTCATCTTTTGTAAGCTATTATTTAATTGATATATTTAAGTACATTTAAATTATATTTTCTTTCATAAAAGCAACAAGACGAGAAGAAGTGACGTGGTAATGTTTATAGCTAAATGGTTATTAATAGACGATGTGCTGCTGTATATCTGATAGATTTATATTGTCCACTAGTCAGGATAATTAGTATTGATAAATCAATCAATAAATAAATATATACACCTATATATTAAAACATACTTACCCTCATCTGTGCCACAAGTAGCTTTACACCACAATACAAGTAGAAAAATCACCAGTCGCTGTAACGGTTGCATCTTTGAGTGTCGGATGACTTCATGAAGAGAGAGGGAATGTAAGGCTAAGCTTGATCAAATATTTATCGCCAGTCAGTGTATTATTTGCAACCCAGTAAGCTTTTGTTCTCTCTCAAAACTCGTTTTCAAGTCGTCATGCTTGCTTAAAGTGGAACTACGACTTGACTTCCTGAGTTGTTAGGGGGTGGAGATGAAATACGTTTCCTCCATCAATCAACGTAATATTGTCACTGATTGGTTCTCCCAGTTTCTGTCAATCACGACGACCAACTGCAAATATAAAATTGGATAATGATTGTCGGAGAGTTTGGAAAGCCACACAACTTCTAAACATTGGGTGATTTACAGGAATGGACAAATTCCCTGGAATCGTGCCAGATATAGACGGTAATGCCTTACACGAAATCCGTTTAATTATTCGACGTCCTTAACTTTTCTACTTGGCTTTAGACAACTATGGATATCGACTCTAGTTGGTGTTCTTACTAACTTATCAATGGTTATAATCTACTTGTGTATAATTCTATTATTTCTCCGGTTATACCCCAATATAAGGCAAATATATCAACAATTTTTATCAATTTTCCCAACACCGACTCTATTATAGTCTCCTCCATTAAAGATGTGATCAGTGCTTTACAAATTGTATTTTCGTCTCCTCTTCTGTTATTAAGAGCCCCGATAAGCGATCTTTTTCCAATTTTGGAAGACAGCCGAATTACCATTATTTGTGTTTTTATTCTGAATGGTTGCTCTTATTGGATATTTATATGGCAATTTTTGTGACTTGATAACGCAGTCATCACAATTACTACAAAACCTATATGCAGATCAGTAGCAATTTTTGTGACTTGATAACGCAGTCATAACAATTACTAAAACCTATATGCAGATCAGTAGCAACTTTTGATTTAATTTGTTTTGACAAATTCAATATACTTAAACATTATATGAAGTCGTGTATATGAATAATGAAAGCACCGCATTGAGGTATTTTAAAAACGGCATTTTCAAGGAGAGCGATTGCTCTGAAATTAAGACAAGTTTTTGAAACATATTATATTAAAAATTGTGATACAACTTTGTAACCATTAAAAAACAATGCAATATTTTTTTTGTCTTTCTAGTATCAGCCATTATATAGTATAACATTTTAAATTCTAAGATTTGAAATAAAATTGTGATTTTGTGATGAAACGGAACAAACTGTATAAATCAATGTTAGGGGTAAATTCAGATATCCTTTAAAGCACAGAACTAATTGCAAACTCCCCAAACAGGCGGTGAGCTTTAAAGATTAACCACGAGCAATTAAAGACGATACTGCGAATCTTTTGTGGTTTAAATAAGAGTTCTATTAGAAGGGCCCCGATTCACAAAATAGTAAAATGCATTTTTGTTCCAGAACATAGGTAAAATATGCACTGAAACACAATTTTCAATCAACTTTTATATTTAAATATTGAGCTCTTGGTTATTTTCTTATGAATTTCGTTACCCTAGTACGTTCATCGTCTAAAATAGAGCACCCAAAGAGCCATGGGTAACTATACGTAGTCTAATGGTATGTATTTTTAAACGCATGATACACATTTTATTTATTTGATGAGTTCACATACTAAACAAAAAATCGTTGTACTTTTATACAACACTGAAGAGACGTATTCCAAAGCTTTTACTAAGCCGTTCCTTATGGGTGCAGAGCTTCGGATCAAGGAAAAATAACATGGTTTATGGGAAGACCCAGGAGATGAGCATGTCGAGACAAACCATCAATTATATAGATATACATGCTACAGGTCTATAATTCAACTGACTACGCAAAGGCTCGTCTTGTTTGTAACTGATGGGGAAAATGGACACTGTGCCAGGATTCCGTGGAATGAAACTCTTTTGCTGGAGTTGAAAAAAATTGCCTGTAATTACAGCACTGATGGAACCAGGTTACATCGAGGGTAATTAAACTTGTACTCCAAGTTACATGTCATTTACAGATACACGTACAACATCACTCTGGACGAAGGATTTTGCAGTTTACTCTTTACGACCAGAAGAGCAGAAAAAGCTATCAGTAATGCGGTGGTAGCATCCAAAAGTCTATGCTTTAGTCATTGATTGTGTGTGATTACAATGGCTGACGTTAATGACACAGTTAAACACTTCTATCACAGTTTGTCTATAAACTAAATTGACTCAATCCACGGTCGCTCTTCATCTTAATTTCTACCTCGAATCAACACAGTTATAGACATGTCTGTAACCCAGCATGCAACCGTGACAACTTGTTATAGTTATAAATATCTCTCGTTGATTTAAAAGAGAGGAATAAAGAATTACAGGATGTAGAAAGCAGCATGTAACTCATGATTTTTGTTTTTCTTCTTGAAGTTAGTTTTATTGATGGTTTCGATAAAACATTTTTTATCGCTACGTTGTGTAAATAATGAGCTTCATTATGACACGATGATGTTCAATGAAAATCGTTAACACCAGGGGAAACTCTAGTTCCAAAATGACCAAATTGTCTTCGCGTTAAACCCACACTCTCTGGTTCTCTTTAAGATAATTTGTAGTGGCGACATTTAGATTACTTCTTAAATGAATAAAACATTGTGTAAGGAGCTGATCATGGGGTCTCGTGGTCGCTCCCGATGTTGGCGTAACATCGTTCGGATGGAAAATCGAGGTCCCGTGTACACATTGGCGTGCACGTAAAAGAACCCTTGATAGTTGGAATTCGAATAAAGTGCAGGTCGTAATGCCTATTGTGCATGTATAATTTTTCTCATAGCTCGCTGTATGGTTTAATAATTATGTCCATCTCCATTAGTCCAGTCGGTGCACAGTAGTAGGACGTTAAACCCCATTTCACTTCATTTTCTTCAGTGTAGCTGTTAAAGCCACTCATATATATGCAATGTTCCAACAACATCTAATTTTTAACAGCTCAATCCAAGCTAAAAGGTACCGTACTAAAATTGATTATTTAACATGTAATTAGGAAAAATCAAAACATGACCAGTATAAATAATCACCCGGCTTGGATTCAATTGAATTAGAAATATGACCATCAACAGATTTTTAAAGCTCAACTAATAAGTGCTGCCAGTTTGTTTATATTGTTTGCAGAGGATGTCAGGTGTTGCATTATTTGAAATTCGTCGTATCATAATAACAACTGTACGAAATTGAACCATTTTTGGAATGATTTTATTTTCAGAAATTCAACTTTCACAATATTGTGGGGGATTTAAAATTCCTCAAATAAAGATCAGGGGCTTAAACATTTAAATCTATAAAGAGTTTGTATTTGGAGGGGGGGGGGGCGAGATGTATTTCGAGCATTGCTTTCCAGTACATTACAAAATCCTTTGACATGCAATTTAAATGTTTCCACCTTTGTTCAGTAGACTAGACTTATTCTCTGATATATTTGCTACACTGTTAAGCACTGAAGCGAACACAGAATCTTTACAGTACATAAATAATAGAGTTTGAGAGTGGGACACAGAACTTCCACGCCAACAACCAACACATAATCCATTCAGTCTCACTGGATTGTTATTTAATTCACATGAATGTTTCTTGATAATATTATTTGTGACAAACCTTTCACGATATAAAACGTCAGTCAAGCGGAATGTTACTTGAAGTAAATATTATACACTGTAAATAATTAATATCTGGTAGGAAGGAAAGAAGGATAACTCTCAGTGATATATAACCTCCAAGCAAATTAACCACACAACTCAAGGAGGTTGTTGCTGTTTTTGTTTCTTGTAGATTTGTTTTAAAGGCCACGATGACATTAGACTTAATAGGAAAGAGACCGCCGTTGATATCACCGCTTTACTTTCGGTAGTCGGACCTGATTTCAATTGATACTTCGTTCTTTTGTGTAATAATAATATATTTGTAAACAGTTTGGCACGTACATCGAATTTTAATTGCACAAAACGTAAATAGTGCAATGTACAATCGCCACAGACACATACAACAAACTATCTTACACGCTTTGTATCAAACTTAAGGAATTCCGTTTTGTAACAAACTTAAGGAATTCCGTTTCTAGTAAACTTTTAAAGGCCATTTATTTTATACTAGACTTTGCAAGCTAGTTCGTAGATTTGGTGCTGCTTATGAATAAGATATTACAACAGTCTTGGCAATAACATGTTAATGTGACGTTGTATCTGACCATTATTCTAAAGAAATTACCCAGTCTTGAAACAGAAGAGAAATTAAATGAGGTTTAACGCCCTGCTTCGATTGGGCTAATGCGCCATACAATGTGGCGTGAGAGAACCTTTTCGCAGACAGGGGCGCTACGGCCTACTCTTATATCCAAACTGCCAAGATTTATTTTACCTGTAGGTTACGCCAAAGTCTACAAGAGACCCCGGTTCGTCGCCCCCTCCTGCACAACGTCGGAAAATCCCGATGAACTTTCTCGACCAACACCGGGATCGTCTTGAAACCGAACCTTGATATTAATTGGATCACCATAGAAATGGAAAGCAATACCAAACAGCGACTAAAGTTCGGATAGGTAACAAATTGATAACGAAGCGGCGTTAGCTCATTGACAAGTTCCAAAAGGTTAAAACAGAAAAACAATGCGTTCAATAGCTTTTCAATCTAAATATTTCCTCCAAAAACAGATTTACAATTAAGAAAATCAACACAGACTTTTCTAAACATCTAAATGATCATTTTAAAATTATATAGAAATGGGGAAGTTATAGAAAAAAGAACAAGGCATTCTGATATCGCCCAGTGACTATTTGCTTTAAAATCAATATTTAAGACGACTTTATCGGAAATAACGTATAATAGGATGGTGCCAAAAACCTTGCACTAGAACTTTGTAGTGAAATAACCAAATCTTCATTGAATGGAAATATTTCTATTGAAAATCTCTTTTAGCGACAATCAATGGCCGTCAATATTGTACTCGTAACTGCTTTCAACAGGTACTTGTTCCCAGAAAAGATGATTGACCTTCTTCTGGAGATAAAAACCTCCTCTGATAGACACAGACTCAAGTACTAGGCTGAACCCGATTCTTGCTAGATTTATAACGGCGCTATCCGTTCAAATCGACAAACTTTCTGATGAATTCAATTTACTTTGGGTTAATAGCGCAACCCTATAGTCCACGACCCTAAAGTACAGCTCTCAAATTGTGTGTTAGCTCAGCACCATTTTTCCGCTTGCTGTAAACGATTTGATTATCCGATGATCGAGGTTTCTAAACGTGCCTTTCCTGA